GGCCGTCTGCAAGGAGGTTGCTCAGGGGATGCCCTGATGTTTTGATGTTTTATGATTCTTGTGGGAGGCTTCTCTCATGTCTCCGTATGGGGAGCTGGAGCTGACAGAGGAAACACATCCATGCTTTCACCGGATTCAAACTGCTGACCTGTCAGTCTTCAGTCCTGCCGGCACAAGGGTTTAACCCACTGTGCCACTGCAGTTAACTAGGACTGCAGCTAAGCATATTCTGTGCCTGCTGAGCATATTCTAAACCAGATAGGTCAGGACAGAGAAACCAACTCACCAAGTTGGAGCCCTCGGTGGTGCAGTGGGTTAAACCCCTGTGCCAGCAGGACTGAAAACCGACAGGTCGCAGGTTCGAATCTGGGAAGAGTGCGGATGAGCTCCCTCTATCAGCTCCAGATCAAATCCAGGCATCCCCTGGGCAATGTCCTTGCAGATGGCCAATTCTCTCACACCAGAAGCGACTTGCAGTTTATCAAGTCACTAATGACATGACAAAAAAAATGTTGAAGACAACCCACAGAAGTTTATTTGATTTGGCCAAAAGAGATGCAAGTATAGCAATTTACTTCAAAGGTACAGGCATAAAAATACAGAGAAATACAAGACATCTTATACAGTTCTCCCAGCTATTCAGACTGCCCACCCACTCTCCAGATTGGCCAGAAAAGAGGCTGGCTAGGATTCGTGCCAGGATTGGCTGGGAGGGAGAATTGGAGCTGGGGATTGGTCAGAGTGAAGGACCAATCCTCTGCAGAGATGTCCCCTGGGAGAGCACAGTCTGGGAAAAACAAATGGTAAAGATATGTTAATGGGCTTCTGATGAGCTCAAATATCTAGTACTGTGTCAAAAAAAAAGATAGGAGCTTTAGAAAACAGATACAAAACTCAAGGGACAAAGGTGCTGATTTTGGGTAATCAGAGGCTTGGCTGTCATTAAAGAGGTTTAACACATGCAAATACTTTCTAAGCCTCTGTTTTTGTGGGCAGCAATCTCTCAGCTTCAAGTGAACCATATAGCTATACATGAACAATGGGCATGGTGATTTTTTTTGGCTTTTTTAATCAGTTGTGTTTTATTTGTAATTTTTGGGCCTATGCCCTTGTAAGCTTCCTTGAGTCCCCTTGGAGAGATGGTTGGTGGGGTATAAAAATAAAGTTTATATTATTATAATATTATTTGCCCACCTTCCTTGCTTAGGAAATACCTCATTTGGAGGTTAATGTCTCTGGTTATATTTTGGTAAAGAAGGTGTGTGTGTGTGTGTGTGTGTGTAACAGATACAGTATACAGAAAGATAAAAGTTATATAGAAAATAATGATTAATAGATACAATTTATTAAATGGTTAGATATGAGAGACCTTATGGGTTTATAGCTGTTGCTGATTTGGTCTTGATCGTCTGGTGCTTTGAACTTGCACAAGTCTAGAAAGGGTCTTTTTAAAAGTGGAAAACCATATATATTTTTTCTGAGCCCTTGGTGAACTATAAATCTGGGGAGGGGGGGGTACCATGGCTCGATAACAATATGAGCCTGTCCAGAATTTGTAAACCTTAAAGAGGTGCCCCAGTGCATGACCCATCATGTCTAGATGCTAGATTAGTGAGTAGATAAGAGAGAGCTTTTTTGGTAGCAGCACCTGTAGTTTATGAACCACTTATTAGGGGAGGTGAGACTGGTTTTAAATGGCCTTTTAAACAGTTTAACTCTGTGTTGTATTTTTAAAAGTCCTGTGTTTTTTAAAGTTTTAATCTCCTGTACACTACTTTTGGGATGCAAATACAAAGACAGATTGAGCATCCCTACAAAATCTGAAACTTTTGGCTTTTGAATACCTTCAAAGCGCAGGTCAGCTGAGGAAGGCCATATAAACAGTGTGTTGCTTTATCAAGTTACCTTTTCCTTTTAGCTCTAGCATTCCAAGCTTTTTTCCAGGTCAACTGCAGCCTATAAAAAAGAGTCAGTTCACACACTATGCGATTGCTAGCTTTGCATCTCATCTAGTGCTTCTGCATTGGCAGCAGCTTGGGTCAACTAGATCCAGATTTCAGTGAAGGCTACCACAGATATCTGAAAGCATCCTGAGACTGCAACCTGTGGAGCTATTTCAAGCTTATTTGTTATAATGACCTTCTGTATGTCCTATGCAGTTTGAAGGTTGTGACTCTCTTTCAGGTTAAGAATAGTAACTATGTATCTGAGATGATAGGAGTAATTTTAATGCTGGCTAGAATTCATTTCTTGTATTTAACAAATAATTAACATTTTCTTCCTGGATTATTTCAGTTCTATGTTTTAGATAATCGTATTTTATAGCTAGATGATCAGTGCTCTGGGAAATGCAATCAGTCAAAAGCAGTCTCTAAATTAATCTTGATGTTGTTAATCATTAAGATGATTTTCTCATTCCTTGCTACATCATACTAGGAGCAAGGGTACAAATAGACACTTCTCCTTAATGCGGTAGTGGCAGAAAATGCTGCTTGTGTTATAATATTTACTCTGGGAATCATCTCCACCCTCAGTTATATGTGACTTTTTTATATTTCCTATGTAGACCCTGTAGAATTCATTCATAGCAAAGATTCCTCTAATATTCATTTAACCTGCAGCATCTGCTTAATAAAATTCATACTTCGCTTTTAGGTGTCACATCTGGAAAAACATATACTTTATCAGAGATTATAATTTCTTCTGTCTTTGTCTGAGCTGGATTTCCAAAAATTGTAATCATCTACCCTTTTTTTGTAATAGTGAACTTGCTGGTTTCGATGCCTTTGAATTGGGCAGGGTAGTGGAAAGTAGGGGATCCCTCAGAAAAATATTAGTTTGCAAATTTTAAAATAAGAAAAAAAAGAAACTCTAGACATGTCCACATGAGTCTTGATTAAACTGTTTTTCTACTCTATTTTGAGATTGAGAAGAACACTAGATAGTATCAAGGTAGTAGAAATCAGATGGCAAGAGACAGATGAAGCAGAAAACCTATGAAAGGAGATGTGCACATCTTAGGAGAAGCACACAGTCTAGCACAGTGGTTCTCAACCTGTGGGTCCCCAGATGTTTTGGCCTTCAACTCCCAGAAATCCTAACAGCTGGTAAACTGGCTGGGATTTCTGAGAGTTGTAGGCCAAAACACCTGGGGATCCACAGGTTGTGAACCACTTGTCTAGAAGAAAGGGGTGAATGAAAAAGGAGAAATGGAAGGACAGTGAAGGGTGGGGCAGTGGAGAGAGATGGTGAAGATTACATCTGGTGTCATCCTTAATCCCATCAATTTTACCTGTATTTTAAAATTTGTGTGGTGAAAATTATCTCCTGGATTCCAGAAATCCTGTAATTGTTTTTAGTTTAGGAAGAATTCTTTCCTCCAGATTTCTTTGCCTTGAGGCCTCCGCCCCAATTCTGCTGCAAACCCTATTGATTTAAACTGAAGCTTTTACTCACAGTAGAATCAGATTTGCATTTTCTTCCTCATCTTTTCCCCTGCCATCTGTCAATATACATTTCTCTGCCCTCAATTAAGAACAAAAGGAAGAGAAGTGTGGCCCAGGCACTAGCCAGGGGACCAACAGTGGGTGGCTTCTCGCTCGCAGAAGAGTTGTGCCGTAACTGCCAGCAGCTCCAATGTGGATTTCTGCCAGAGGGAGTGCTGGCTATTTTGGGTCCATTCGTAGAATGCTGAGGGAGTGATCCATCATTCGTGCCTGTCTTTTCAGCTGTGAATTTAGAAATATTTTTGCCTGCTAACCCCCAGAGCCATAGAGATACTCGGAAGCCTGACTAAATAATTGTATGTAAATTGGTGAAAGACTATTCTTTCTGATTGTTTCCATGATCACTAACAGCGAGCTAAGTTTTTCAGGAAGATTCCAGAGTTTCTTGTGTTTCTATCCTTATCAAAGCAGTAGTTTTATGCCACTGCACCAGTATTTTTGTAGCAGTTTCTGCCTTTAAAAGAGAAAGAAATATTGCCTATTTGGAAGAAACCATTTTCTACCCAAAGCTAGCTCATTAATAATTTCTAGAGAACTGTATTTCTATTTAAATATATAAAAATAAGTTTATGTGGCTTATTATGTTATGATTTCAGTGAAATGTTTTGAATTTGGCTAAGAGATATTAGTTGAATCTGGAATTTTATTTTAATTTTTTTGAAAACCTCCTGTGCAAAATAAATTATTAGATAGCTTTTAAGACACTGCCTTCCTTTAAAGAAGAGAGAGAGAAGAAAAGGATATGCCTTTTAGAACACCATCTCTTTTCAAGAATGGAGGCGATTTTTTGAAGAGGAAAAGGTGATTTTGAACATACATGCCTTGTTACTATTTAAATTATGCAGATTCTTGATGCTGTGAAAATTTGTGCTTGATGACGCCAAGGCAGCTGCACGTTGTTAGCATTGTAGGCTGTCAGATGGTCATGTGGGATTCTTGCAGCATGCAACATTCAATAGGATTGAAAAAGGGCTTTTGATGCAAGGCATAGCTTCTGAATTTATTTGTGCCTTTTAGCTACTTATTACAGCAAATCCAGCTAACTTTAAATTTTAAAATGCTGCCTCATTTTTCTTCTGGTTGGTTTCATTTTGGCTTCACTAGAAGATGCATCTGGTACATCCACGATTGAGGAGTTTATTAATGCTACTGTCGTTCAGTTCACTTTCTGTTCTTTTAGACTTCTAGCTAGCACACAGATGACATGATCACATATTTATTCAGGCACCACCATGCATGGTTTCTTCCTCTGCTTTCTCTGCATTATTCCCTCTGTTATGTTGCACTGTCATGTTCTCCCTTGCCATTGAGCCTTGTCTTTGTCTCTTTCCTTCTTCTCTTGTTTGCTGTTATATTTTCCCCATGTTTGGTTACTGCAATATTATTTGATTAACTGGCTGTGATGATGATGAACCTACACACTGGAGGAGCAGCTACTACAGTGGTGATGAAGGGATGTAATAATGGTCGCTATCCTCGGAATTCTCTCTACAGTGACTGCATTATAGAAGAAAAGGCAGTGGTCCTGCAGAAAAAAGACAATGAAGGATTTGGGTTTGTGCTCAGAGGGGCTAAAGGTACGTGGATTTTCTGTGTCTGTACAATTGCCTGAGTGCCTATGTGAAACATGGCATGCATTTCTGAAAAGAAACAGGTATTAATTCCTTATGCATTTGGTTGCTAGACAACCGTGTTCTCTCTGCGCTGTAGGACTGACATGGAATTTAGTAGTTTCTGATGCTGCAGTTTTGAGAGATGCATGTGTGTTTGCTTCTGTATCTGTATCTTTTAAGTTTGTGTGTATGCAAGATATACAAAATAATTATGTGGGGCAAGTTGCCTAGTTATCTTTCCTATGTCTTACTGTTCACTATATTCAAACTGCAATCAGTGTATTATTCAGTGTATCCAAACCAAACTACCGGGATGGGGGGTGGAGTGGGGGGTATAAGATAACAACATTACTTCATTTTAAAAATTAATCATATTAAGATGAATCAGTCAAGTGAAAAGGTGTTTTGACATCTTGTGTGAAATTGGTCTGTAGTTTATTCAGGATAAATGTACTGCAATGTTAGTATGAAAAATCAGATGATTTTCTATATCCTGAAGCTGCATGTATGTTGAATGGCCTTTTGGTGTGTGATCTGCTTTGAGAGCTACCTTATTTCATGTGCTGAAATATGCTAATCATTTTCTAATGCTGATCTTCTCCGACATTTTTGAAGGGTAAAACAGCATCATTTTGTTGCCTTTTATTGAACTCATTTTGCATTTTTTTAAATTGGTGGTACGTCCCAGTGCCTCCACTACCTCTCCCCCCCCCCCCCCAGTTGCTGGATGAGCTCTCCCTCATGTTGCCTGGCTGTTAGGAAGGCTAGCCCATATGTGCTCTATGGAGGATCCTCCACACCCTTCCTCTGGGGATACCATTTTTATCACTCCTCACTAGAATGGCGAGCCCGTACTGGGCTTCCCTTGCTATGTAACAGCTTTGGATTAACCCTCTTGGCTGAATGTACATTTTGGTGGGGTCTTCTGGAAATCCAGTGACTTCATCACTGTGTCGATCAGCTGGCGCTGAGCTACCTATGCAGCAAACAGGGGGTCCCTTACTATGCATGCTAAATTCACATGGACCTGAGCTCACCAGCTGAAATATTCACATCCCTTTTAAAACAGGCTCATATCATGCTTCTTGTATAATTTATTACATTGGTGGATTGATCCCAGCGTGGTGAATTATCTGATGATATATCTGTAAGGTGAACAAATGTCCAATCATACAGCATAAAATGACAAACCTCATCAACAGACAATTGTAGTGTTATACAATGTGGTGCTACTTACAGCAAGTTAAAGAGCCTTGAAAATTTGAAATGCATTATTTCTAATTTCACCAATGTGGAATTTAAAGATACTATTTTCATATTGTGTTCTATCAGCTCAATTGCTTTTAGTTTCTGAATATATTTATGCATCAGTTGAAAGGCCATTCCTTTATTTGCTGACAAAAATCAAGATTGTGATACATTTGTAAGAGCAAGGAGGGAGATCTAGATGATACGAGACATTCTTAGATAGTTTATTTTTGGACACCCATAAATCATTCATTATTCACATGATTAAGCCTTATATTTTAGATATTTATTTTCGTTTATTAAAACGATGTCATGTATTATTCCAAAGCTGATACACCTATTGAAGAATTCACCCCAACTCCAGCCTTTCCTGCTCTGCAGTACCTGGAATCAGTGGATGAAGGCGGGGTAGCATGGCAAGCTGGCCTGAGGACAGGAGACTTTTTGATCGAGGTAGGCAAATTTGGAGTGTGGCTGATGTTTTTCTGTTGTGGAAAATACCATATCATCAGTTTGCAAAACTTTTGCTGACAATCTGGTCTCTCTCACTAGGAGTAGTTTGGCTGATTCAGTGGTTTGGTACCACCTCTGTATATTCTCATGATTCCATTATTGCAGTCTTTTATTTTCTACTTTGCATCCTTAACAGAAATGGTCTAAAAACAGGTATTCAATGAAAAAAAGTTGTCGAATTTACTTTTTGTATATTTGCATAGTTTTATTGCTGAAGATAATTGAATTGATATTTTATTCTTTTATTTACTTTAGTTATATTTTAATTATTAGTTTGATCTATCAAATATGTAGCACCCCTGGTAATCTAGTGGTATTTCCCATTCCATAGATATAGAAATTCAATCTCTATGGTAACAGGGACTTTTGTTATATCCTAGGCCTGCAGGCTAGGTAGCTAATATCCATTTGATATTATTGCTAATAATTGCTAAGGTCCAAGATCAGGTTTAAGGTTTTCCAGGTGTTGTTGGACTGGAACAATCATTATCTCTATCATTGGTCAAGATGACCTGATGGGAGTTGTAATACAGCAACCATTGGAGAATACAATTTCACAACCATTGCCTGAGATTATTGGCAATTCGAATTCAGTTAATGGTGAAAAGTGCATCATGTGATGATTAAGTGTCAGAGAGTAAAATATTTGTGACAAAATGTGTAAATGTATTTCATAAAGGTCAGGCAGATTTTTTTCCATGTGTGATTTTAAGTACACTTTACATTTCACCTTGATTAATTTGCTTTTTAGCATTCATTTCATCTTTTAGCTTAAAGAAGGTAATGGAGGTTGATTTAATGTTTTCATTACTGAAAATTATGAACTCATCTATGCTTTATATGATCTTTCCAAATGATTACACATCAGTACACTAATTCGTTTATTACTATGTTGAATCTGTAACATAAATCTGAGAGAAATTCTATTCACATGCAATATGAATAATATTTTGGTGTTAATTTTACTCGGGTTTGCTTTTCCTGAACTTCAAGCTGGTTTGCAAATGTTATTATAGAGTGCAAAATTCTCAGCTTTGTTCTAGTTTGGACAACATCTCTCATATCTGTGGGGGAAAAAAGATTTTTGAGCTTTCTTTGTGTTTTTTGGTCTTTCAATAACATGCTAAACTTCTGATTTATGTCAGAATTTGCCATTGTAGGATCAGGTATGCTGAAAATGGTATAATACAAAAAAAATCCTAGTATTTTTAAATGTGCTTTGTGGCTTTCATGCTTCTCCACATGCTCAACTTAGGCAATTTGCTTGATAGACATAATGACTTAATTGGCCAGTTACATATTCAGGCTTTTTCCTCCCACAGAATAGCCAACATTTAAATTGCTTATGAATGTCCCTACAATTTCTAAATATGTTTACAATGTGAATTGGGTATTTTGATTTTCTAGAAATCTTGCCTGTCAAAGTGGTTGCATGGCTTTTTGGATGCTGGCCAGTGCTATAAATTGCAAGTGTATGCCAGCACTGCAGTGGTGTTTTTCCAATATTGCTAGAAGATACATATGAATAAATATTTAGGGCTAGAATGCTAGCAAGGTAAATTAAGAGTAAAGCATAGGGATTTTGAACAGATGTAATAGGGATCATTTGCCACAAACAAGTAAAGTATTAGTCATGCCAAAGCTCACCTGTAAGGCAGAGTGGCTTAATATAGATCTCCAAGAATAAACATCAGTCTAAGCCAGGCATGGTCAAACTTTGGCCCTCCAGGTGTTTTGGACTTCAGCTTCCACAATTCCTAACAGCCGGTTGTTAAATTCTAAAACACCTGGAGGGCTGAAGTTTGCCCATTCCTGGTCTAAGTAATTGGTTTAAATTATGTTTCCCTTTTAAAAAAATATTTATTTCCTGAACATGCTTTCATATTAATTACTTGCTGTAACAAATAAAAATATTGTTTTTCAATTAAATGTAACATTTGCAACCAGGGAGGTAGAACATGTGTCTTTCTAGATGTTGCTGGACTGCAGTTCCCCTGATCTCTAACCTTTGAGTGATCACTTAGCCCTGCTTCATGAAAGCTAGGATCATAATCCAAACCCTTCAGTCATCTATCTCCAAGTTTTTTGTCCTGTAAAACTATCTCACAGACAGAGAGCTTTTGGATTGTTGAAAAATAAAGCTGGAGTCCTTTGCATACTTGTTTGGAAGTAAGCCTTTTTCATTAAAAAAAGGTTGAAATTTACTTCTAAGTAAACTTGAAAAGAATTGTGTCTTACAAACATTCTGAAAAAAGAGGTGGTGTTAATTGAGCAGAACAATATGCTCCCTGAGATGGCCTGTAAATGTCCATGGTGTTTGGTAAAAATCAATACTATTTACAATTGGAAAATTAAACACACTTCGTAGTTCAGGTAGGAGAAATCATACAGTTGCATGAGGGGGAGGAAATGGAGAGAGAAGAAAACATCAGGCATTTCTTTGCAGATTTCTTAAGGCTCTATCCAGACAACTAACACACTCTTCAACAACTCCCCAGTCAAGGATTCCTAGTGTGGGGAATGTCTGTGTACATCACTCATATCAGTGGGTTAGTGGATGGTCTGGGAACAGTGCAGTGTTTAAAGACCAGAATAAAAATATTTCATAATTGTTAAATTATCTTTCTCAGGTCAAATGTCAGATATTTTGTGTCATTACTCTTGATTGAATTATAACATTTTATAAATCAGCACTGAGAGATGTTTATTGTGTGTGAGATTTAATTCTCTTTTAATTGAACTTATTTCTAAAGTATAATTCACTATAACATCCTTTTAAAAAAGAATCTGTATGTTTAATTTTTTAAGATACTGGTTTTTATTTCTTCTTAAAGATCAGGATAGATGAATGGCTCTGCAAACTTCAGCCATCTTTAAAATAAGAGTGTGTTGAATAGCTTGCTGACTCAGTCTCCTTTTCAGTGGAATATTGAATGCTAGCCACTTGTTCTGTAAGCAAAACACATTAGATGATACCACATTGTGCCCGTAATGACATAACTAGTCACCTGCAGCCTGATGTTACAGCATCAAGGGAGTTGAGAAATGCCTTCGTAACCATGATAGCACAAAATAATGGTTTTCTACAGAAGCTTTGGTTGTTTCTTTCTGACCTGATAAAGTTTTTCTGAGGTATCAGGATTGTAATGCTGTAGTTAAGGCATGGTTACTTTACAAAAATGTTGTAGATGTTACCTCCCAGAAAAAGCTACTTTGTAATGGGAGAAATTGCTATGGTTGCATGTACTTTCATTGCTCCGAAACTCAATTAGGATAATATTTGATGTAGTTGGGCTTGTCTCTTGTTGCCAAATGATAGAAAATCTTCAGTGACTCAAACATTTACAGTATTATATGCTGGCAGCTCAGCCATTTGCTTCAGGCATATGACGGGGTACCACTTTTATTAACAAAAAGTAAACTGGGGATTATTTCATTCTAATGTAATTTCATTCTAGATTACTGCATGATTAGCTTGGATTTTTCAGTACAGTCAGCCTTCCACATTTGTGGGTTTGACTTCTGCATATTTAATTATTTATAGATTTAACTAAAATGTTTTCTCTAAGAATGTCTAGATTCTTTGGTCAGATTCTGCTGGAGGTCCTAGAGCAGGCCTGCACAACCTCTGGCACTCCACAACTCCCAGAAGCCCTAGACAACTTGTTCAGTGGTCAGGAATTCTGGGAACTGCCCAAAGCACCCAGAGGGCCACAGGTTGTGCAAGACTGTCCTAGAGATCCCTAGAGAGAATTCCTCTCTAGTTATCTCTAGATCTTCCAGTGTTGTTCTACATTCAACTTGCGGTGGGTATTGACCATAGTGCTGGAATACCTAGTGATTCCTAGCAAAATGTTCTCTTGGGGGAAAAATCGCTTTTATAATTACCATTTTTTCACTTTTGTAGGGGTCCTGCTCCCCTAATCCCAGCGAATTTAGAGGGTCGATTGTATACTTTGCATCAAATATTCCAAATGATTTATGTGTACTTTACTCATTCATTGAATTCACAATTCCCACACCAAACAAACTAAACATATGTATTGTCGAAGGCTTTCATGGCCGGAATCACTGGGTTGTTTTCGATTTTTTGGGCTATATGGCCATGTTCTTGAAGCATTCTCTCCTGGCATTTCACCTGCATCTATGGCAGGCATTCTCAGAGGTTGTGAGGTCTGTTGGAAACTAGGAAAATGTGGAATGCCCAGGGGGAGAAAGAACTCTTGTCTATTGGAGCCAGGTGTGAATATTTCAATTGGCCACCTTGATTAGTATTTGATGGTCTGACAGTTTTTAGGTGTGGCTTGTTACTGCCTGGGGGAATCCTTTGTTGAGAGGTGGTTAGCTATTCTGATTGTTTTTTGTCTGGAGTTCCCCTGTGTTTGAGTGCTGTTCTTTATTTACTGTTATAATTTTAGAGTTTTTAAATACTGGTAGCCAAATTTTGTTCATTTTCATGGTTTCTTCCTTTTTGTTGAAATTGTCCACATGCTTGTGGATTTCAATAGCTTCTCTGTGTAGCCTGGTAACATGTTAGTTGTTAAAGTGGTCCAGGATTTCTGTGTTCTCAGATAATATGCTATGTTCAGGTTGGTTCATCAGGTGCTCTGCACATATCCCTTGTGTTTCAGCATATCATTCAGAGAATGAAGACACTTATGAGTATTCCAAAGTTTTGTATTTTTTCAATGTCCACATGATTTCTCAGGGTGAAGCAAAAATCTGTGTGAGTGAAGCTTCCAGTGCAGAGAGCACTTTTTTCTTCTTGCTTTAAAACAGAACATAGTAGGGAAATGTTTGTTTTTGGCGGAGTTATCTACAAGGCTGTACTTCTGATGAGTTTTGAAGGACATGTAGAAAAATTAGTCTTAATCAGGTTAGGTAGTATCCAAGTGCATTCTACCACAGAAACTAAATATGTACTTACCCCAAAACTTGGG